TTTTCTTTTTTTTTAGGATTGATAACAGCTTTAATTACAAATCCACTTTGGGTTGTTAAAACTCGAATGTGTGCAACGAACAAATCAGATCCTGGAGCATACAAAGGATTATTTGGTAAGCGAAAGAAAGAGAAAGAGAAAGAGAGAGTGCGCGTGCATGTGTATGAATTAATGATAAAAATAATAACAATAATAATTAAACTTGATTTTACTAGATGGTCTTTACCAGATAATTAAATATGAAGGTTTTTTTGGATTCTACAAAGGCATTATTCCATCTTTATTAGGTACATCTCATGGTGCCATACAATTCATGATATATGAAGAAATGAAAAAATGGAGACTTAAAATTACACCAGATAAAGATAGAGAGAGATTGGTAAATGGAATCCATTTTTGGGAACTAAAAATTTTAAATTTAGATTTCATACTGTTGTGCCTTAGATTAAAACTGGCCAATGTTAAGGTTAGATTTAGCTGAATTTAAAAATATCTACATAGGCCGTATTTATGATTCTGGTCAATCTGTGACATCAGCTTCTAGCTGAGGCAAAGCATCGATCTGAGGCACAACGTACATATATATATATAAGAAAAAAAAGAGAATTCTAGTAAAATTCTTTCATAATTTAAAATTATATAAAAATTTTTTATTTTCAGGATAATTTTGAATATCTTTTAATGTCAGGTTCATCCAAAGCATTTGCAAGCATTACCACATATCCATATCAGGTTATACGAGCAAGATTACAAAATCAGAAAAACGAAGCGAAATATTTAGGTATATTCGATACCATGAGAAAAATCTTACGGTAAGTATTTAATGAATATTTTATTTGATTTCTTTTGATTTTATTTTTATTAATTTTATTCTAAAATGGGAAAAAAAATAAATAAATAAATTAGAAAAGAAGGATTTTTAGGATTTTACAAAGGACTAGCACCAAATATTTTAAAAGTTCTTCCTGGGACATGTACAACATTTTTAGTTTATGAAAACGTGAATTCATTTTTCAAAGAACACGCAAGATATGATTAATTAGAATAATGAACATTCTACTTGTGAGATAAATTCAAGAAATTCAAGAAATTCCGTTTAGCAGATATAAATAGATTGAATTATTTAATTATATATACATATGTTCTTAGATCAGACAATTAAAAAATTTAATTTATCAATTATTCAGCTCACGTTCGTTTGTTGTCAAAGAGATGTTAGTTATTATTATTACATTTATTTGATTATGTGTGCGCTCTTGGTCATTAAATTGTGATCACTTAAAATTTTAAAGAATCAAATTATTTATCTTTGCATTACTTTCTTTCCCTTTAATGTTTTATATATGTCGTATAAAATCTAAATTCATTTCTTAAAATTTC